AGGAAAGTACTATATATACAGATGATTGCAGAACAGAGAAAGGTTTCCTCAATGTTACTTAGTTTAGACACAGAAAAAGCAATTGATCGATTAGATTGGACATACTTAAATCAAACACTAGCATAGGATTTCATGACACATTTACTAAATGGATACAAATATTCTATCAAAATCCTAAATCGAGAGTTCGGGTGAATGGTCACTGCTCAGAGTTTTTTGATTTGGGAAGGGGAATGAGACAAGGAGATGCTATGTCTCCGGTTTTGTTTGCTCTAAGCATTAAACCATTAGCTGAGAGTATAAGATGCGATCAACATATACAAGGAAATACAAATGGAGACTGTCAAAAGATTGCTCTATATCCTGACGATGTATTATTATTGATTGATAATCCAACTTCTTCAATGCCAGATGTTTTAGATTGTCTAGAAAGTTATAAATCCAGTCAAGTCAACTTTATTGTCTATCAAACCATGCAACAGTACATTACACAGCAGACTGAAATTGCGTTTCTCCCATACTCCAATGTGTAATTTAAAACAAGATATGACACACACTAAACATAAACTAAACATTTAACTAATATAGTACAATAGATATTTAATAACTAGACAATAAATCAGAAGCACTTATGATTATAGAGTCTGGCCGGTAGAACTAAATAACAGAGCATCATTTAGGCGGTCAAAACAGGTATTTACATATTTAGGAGTTGCTATTACACCCAGATTATATCTAAATTAATCTGGCAGAACAGACGACCCAGAATAAGAGTAAAATTGGAAAAGATAAGGGGGGGGGGCTACGTCTCCCTAATTTAAGATATTATTACTTTTCTGATCTTAAAGACAAATATATGTTGTCATCAAGTGATTTCTTTCAATAATTACAATTAAGAAGCTATATTACAAATCATAAAGAAAAGAAAGTATTCCAAAAAGTCCAAACTAATGTGGAACAGTATTTTATTGATATAAAACAAAAAAGACTACATAAAATACACATGCCACACATATATAATACTCCAATTCTGGATTCAACAGATAACACCCTTCATATTAAGGCAAAATAATAATCTGAGCTTAATGAAAAAATTGAGGATGATATTTGGGAAAGCATACGTTTAGAAACTCATAAGGGAATCAATAGACCTAATAGTAAAGAGTTCGACTGGAAAACAAAAATTTGTTTTTTTACAACACCATTGATGGCTTCAAAATATGCTAACAGTCCACTGTCAGAGGAATGCTGGAGGGGTTGCGGGAATGTGGGTAATCACACGCATATATTTTGGGAATGTCCAAAGATGCTTGCATTTTGGCAAGTGGTAAAGATTGAGATAATGAACATTATGCAGTTAGATCTACCTTTTTACTCCCGTTTTACTTGCTTTAAGGGATACCCCAATATATACAGTTGAAGAAAGAATTATTAGCCCCCCTTTGATTTTCCTTTTTAAATATTTCCCAAATGATGTTTAACAGAGCAAGGACATTTTCACAGTATGTCTGATAGTTTTTTTTTCAGCTAGAATAAAAGCAGTTTTAAATTTTTCATAAGCCGTTTTAAGGACAACATTTTTAGCCCCTTTAAGCTTTACATTTCCCGATTAACAGAACAAAATATCATGATACTTTCCTAAATGCCCTAACCTGCCTAGTTAACCTAATTAACCTAGTTAAGCCTTTAAATGTCACTTTAAGCTGTATAGAAGTGTCTTCTGAAAATATCTAGTAAAATATTATTTACTGTCATCATGGCAAAGATAAAAGAAATCAGTCATTAGAAATTAGTTATTAAAACTATTATATTAAGAAATATGTTAAATTCTCCTCTCCAATAAACAGAAATTGGGGACAATATTAAACAGGGGGCTAATAATTCAGGGCGGCAAATAATTTTGACTTCACTGTATTTAATAAAAACCAGAGATATTTACTACATATACTTTTACTAAGTGCAAGAAAGACTATAACAATAAGTTGGATGAAGCCAGACCCTCCAACAATAGTACAGTGGACAGAAAAACTCAAATGTGTATATATAGAATGAGTATATGACTGCTCAACTTCAATTGAAACTAGATCATTTTAAACAAAGATGGGAACCGGTTACTTTGGATCTGAACAGGACATAGTATTTCTAGCTTCTTTGAAACTGAAAATAATGTATGTTTTTTTTTTTCTGTAGTTTGTTTTAATTTACATCTAGGGCTTTTTTTTTTAATAATCGCTGCTGTCACTAAATGTTCTGTTCTCTAAAATGTTTTAATGTATGAACATAAAGTAAAAAAAAACCATGACCATGTGTATTGAAGAAAATGTATTAACACTTTTATTAAAGCGCTAACATAAGAGATTGCTCCCAATATATGCAGGATAATAAAACACTCAAATTCAACAAAGTATTGCAAATACAATTACACCCTCTAGTAATCTCATCTAAATTTTTTATTTTGTATGCATGGACTCGGTGAATTTTCCTGTTAATTAAAAATTTTATTTAATGTTTTCTCTTCACACACATTTAATGAGATGCACTCATTCATTATATTATTTTTTTTAAAATGGTTCCAGTTTTGCCGATAAAACAGATTTGCAGAAGTATCTATATTTATATAATCAATATAAAACAGTCATTCACAGTTAATCAGCAGTCTGAGATGTTTTAACCGTCTGTTTATTTCTGATGCTGGGATTCTCCTGATGTTTGACACGAATGAGCTGTTTAAAGTTTCTCTCTTTGTTCTGTTTTTTAGCAGACTCAAGCGTATGGAGAACATCAGAAACTGGACACATATACCACATCCACAGCAGACATCTTTCTTCAGTGATTTTATTTTCAGAGGAAATGCAGGTAAAAAAAACAACTATTATTCATCTTAGAGTGTGTTCTTGATAAACATTAAAGCATTTCACTTTATTAACACTCCTGATAACTCTGACTGTGGCTAATAAAATGAGTAACACATCAAATCAAAAACCAGATTTCATTGTATTTCCAACTTTAAAATAGATTTACATTTAGCAGACACTTATATCCAAAGCATGAAGATAATAGAAGCACTTCAGATCACCAGAAAACAACAAGATGTAGACACAGTGACAAGTCTGAGTTATTTTAGCACTGTTTAAATTTTATTATTATTATGAAATAAACAAAGAAGCAGGACAAAACGGATAGCTAAAGAATACAATAGGGAGTGCTGTTGTTGGAGGATTAAGTGCTGCTGAAACAGATCAGGCCTCAGTTGTTAGTTGTTCTTGCTCACAGCAAGAAGGTTGCTGGCTTGTGTCCTGGCTGGCCAGTTGGCATTTCTGTGTGGAGTTTGCATGTTTTCCGTGTGTTTGTGTGAGTTTCCTCCAGGTGCTCCAGTTTCCCCCACAGTCCAGACACATGCAGTATAAGTGAACTGAATTAACTAAATTGGCCGTATTGAATGAGTAAGTGAATGAGAGTGTATGGGTGTTTCCCAGCATGTTGCTGTGTTGCGGCTGGAGGGGAAGCATTTTTACAGTGCATTTGTTCTCAAATGCTAAAAACTCCATCACATGTATGCTTGTACATCAAACACATTCAGCTCAGTAGCGTTAAATCCAGCTAATCTTTGTAAAATCTACAAATGTTGTCATTTTTAATCCTGAATGATCTCATTTGAAACACACAGTAATCAGCAGTAATCAGCATTTAAAAAATAGAAGAAACACTTATTTTGGACATATGTGACTTTATTTTAAACTTTAGTACAAAATTCATCATTGTCATCAGTTGTGAGGCTTGTCGCCCCAGACTAATGTCAGTTTTTGTCCGTGTTCAGCTCAGCACCACCTTTAAGATGGGCAGTTTCCAGTGGCACCACGTGGAGGAACGGACATCGCCACCTATATATACAGGGTTTGGATTATCACTCACCATGAACTACAACTACACACAAAATCACTAGTCAATAAATGATGTCCTCCAACCATAAATCATATACCACATTAGCAAAACATTAGACTAGAGAAGGTTGTATATGAGGACAATATTAAAGCAAATACTAAAGGTAGTAACTTTATTCATCTTCAGAACACAAATGAAGATATCTGAATGAAAATAATGAAGATATTTTAGTTAAATCTGAGAGCTCCTTAATCTCTCATAGACAGCAAGATTCCTGACTATGAGAATACTTTTATGTGCACATAAAACAAAAATAACTTTATTCAACAGTTTCTTCCCTCAGTGTCAGTATAGGGCACGCGTTCACGTGTTGCGCCTCTGACATATAACCTTGGATGTGCCTGTGAAGTTTTTAAGAGAGGAAGTCAGAGAGGAAGTCGCACAGGCATCCGTGGGGTATATGTCACTGCACAGTGCTTGTGAACGCGTGCCCTATAATCACACTGAGGAGAAGAAACTGTGAATAAAAATGTTTGTTTTATGTGAAGCCGTATGATCTGTTTTGAGGATGTTTTTTTACTGTTTTTGTGGACTTTGAGTCTGGATGAGGGAGCTCTAACATAAAAATAAAAATAGTTAAAATAGTTCTGAAGATGAACATGAGGATGAGTAATAAATAACATAACTTACTTTTTAAAATGTTTTATTTAATAATTTTTTTGTTTCTAGAAGAATTTCTGATTGGTCAATAACATAACATAATAATATAACCAGTTATAGATTTCAAGATAGGCAGGTTTTTTATAGTTTTATTTATTAATTATGTTTTTATTTTATTTTTTTACTTTTTTAATGTTTTATTAAATAATTTTTTTGTTTCTAAATGAATTTCTGATTGGTCAATAACATGGCCAGTTATAGATTTATATTTCAATATAGGCAGTTTTTTTAATAGTTTTATTTATTAATGATGTTTATTATTTTTTTTACTTTTTTATTGTTTTATTTATTATTAATGTTTTTATTTTATTTTTTTACTTTTTATAGTTTTATTTATTAATGATGTTTTATTTTTTTATTTTTTACTTTTTATAGTTTTATTTATTAATTAATTTTTATATTTTATCAGGAGTCTCTCTCCTCTGGCTCAAATTAAATTTCTTAGAGAGAGACACTCAAAATATATGGACTTGAACTGGGAACGACACATAAAACAAAATTAACTTTATTCAACAGTTTCTTCCCTCAGTGTCAGTATAGGGCACGCGTTCATGTGTTGCGCCTCTGACATATAACCTTGGATGTGCCTGTGAAGTTTTTAAGAGAGGAAGTCAGAGAGGAAGTCGCACAGGCATCCGTGGGGTATATGTCACTGCACAGTGCTTGTGAACGCGTGCCCTATAATCACACTGAGGAGAAGAAACTGTGAATAAAAATGTTTGTTTTATATGAAGGCGTATGATCTGTTTTGAGGATGTTTTTACTGTTTTTGTGGACTTTGAGTCTGGATGAGGGAGCTCTAACATAAAAATAAAAATAGTTCTGATGATGAACATGAGGATGAGTAATAAATAACATAACTTACTTTTTTAATGTTTTATTTAATTTTTTTGTTTCTAGAAGAATTTCTGATTGGTCAATAACATGGCCAGTTATAGATTTATATTTCAATATAGGCAGTTTTTTTATTGTTTTATTATTTTATTTATGCTTTTTTTTGTTTTATTATTTTTTTTACTTATTGTTTTATTTTATAAGTTTTTTTTCTAGTTTTGTGGCCAAATTGACTGGTGAGTGATAATGTTCATTGGAAACCCTGTATATATATCAGTTGATCCCAGTGATCATTGGTCAGGAGTCTCTCTCCTCTGGCTCAAATGACATTTTTTAGAGAGAGACACCCAAAATATGTGGACCTGGACTGGGAACGACTGAGATATTTATTTTTATTTATTTAATTTTTTTATACATTTTATTTTAGCATGTGGAAGTGTAAAAGTTGAAGCAAAAGCTGATATAAAAGTGTGGGAAGGGCTATGTACACTATATGAAGGTCTAAACTGTTAAGTGCTTTATCTTTTTTGTTGTTGTTTTCTTTACAGGAAGCTTAATTAGAGCCAGTGTAAATGTTAAAATAAGAGCTATGACACTGCAGAACCAAATTATGTTCAGCTTTCTGTGGATAAAGTTATGTTTAGCTAAAGGACTATGGTGGTGGGGTTTAAAATGGCTAGATCCACCCATTAAATGAGGACATTTCTCCTCAGTTCTAATCCTCTTCCTTGTTCTCCTCCTGAAACAAAAACAGTGATCAGGTTTACAGCATTATTGCATTAGACAAACAACATATAATTAAAAGAAAAGCAATAAAGTATTTTTAAATAAATTCAATTAAAAAAAAAAAAGAAAATTTAAGAGCACAGGACTGTCGTCTAACACTAGCTGGGTTTCCATCAGCCTGTGTTGATGCACCTTTTCAAGTATCACATGAGAAACACGTTTAAATAAGAATCCCTTAATTTACAAAATGTTTTATACTCACTTGAGGTCATTTTGGATTTGTGTGAAAAAGGGTTCATGATGGAAATGCATTTGTCAATTGAACTTTGATTTCTCAATTAAACTCCCCTTGTTTACTGTTGGTTACGAGGTTACCAATACTACATTTCAGCTGCTCGACCAACTTGATGGAAATCATTTGCTCATAATTCACATTTATAATTACAAAATATATATTTAGTGAACTTTGAAAAGATGTGCTTCACATTATAATGGAAACTCAGCTCATGACAGAATCATTTGACTGATGACAAAATCCTTTAAAGTCTTTACATTACCTTAAACCAGGCATGGTCAAGGAGTGCATGCAACTTGGGTCGAAAAGGGTAGTTAATTTCCAGACAACTGCAGAGGAAATCATTGCATTCTATGCAAAAAAAAGAAAGAGATACATGTTATTATTGCCTTGAAGTTTAAACATGCTTTTTTCATTGACATTCAAAATGTTCTACACAACCATCTTTAGCTGAAGTGAGGATCTCACCTTTTGACCATCCATCATGCTTTGCATGTCCAGAATTCAACCTGAAGAGGTCACGGTTTTCTGGGAAATTGTTGAATATTAGCAAATACTGAAGAATCCCGAGTGTCCACACTGTCGCTGGCTCAGCATCGTATGTGTTAACACCTTTAAACTCGGGAGGGCAGTACTGTGGTGTGCCTGAAAGAAAGAGATTTTGTTTCCATTAGCACAACATTTAAATTTCCATGCAAAAATGTAAACAATAATATAGATCAGGGTTGCTCAAACGCAGTCCAGGAGGATCTGTGTCCTGCAGTTTAGCTCCAGCCCCACTTAGACACACCTGAACAAGCTAATCAAGCTCTTACTAAGTACACTAGACATTTTCTGTCAGGTGTGTTGAAGCAAAGTGGAGCTAAACTCTGTAGGCCACCGGCCCTCTAGCACTGAGCTTTGACACCCATGGTATAGATAAACAACAGTGAATGTTTCAAGAGTCTTATGTGAATGACCCTTGAATGATCAGCTCCTTATAGCTTTGAGGGATTTACTTACCCCAAAACTCTGTGTAACCGTTCTCATTAAAGAGGGCACCGCACCCGAAGTCAGTCAGTTTGACTTCTAAGGTCTCTGGGTTAATCAGCAAGTTCTCCAGCTTGATATCGCGGTGAAACACTCCACGTTTGAGGCATGTGTCAGCTGCAATTGTTGCCTGGAACATGATTTTCCGTAACACGTCCTCTGCAACAATGCCTTTGTGGTCTTCTAAAAAATTACTTAAGTCCACACAGGGTATGAGCCGCTCTAGGACCATGAAGTAGCAATCAGCTTCCACCTTCCAGTCCAGAAGATCAACAATTTGTTTAACCTTGGGGCCTTTAGTAGCAAGATAGTGCAGAGCGATCTCCTCTGGAAGTAGTCTGTCAAACCCATCCTAGAAGAAAGACAGTTGTTAGGATCATTTGATGGAAAAGTTATTTCCTGTTAAAACTGTTGGTGACGTCTAACATAAAAACCAGTGGGCAGATTATAGAGAGCAAAACAAAGACAGACACATTTTCAAAGGAGAATAACTGACACTTAGCATGTTTCTAAAATATCTGCAAACATATTATGGTATTTTTGTGCTCTAAAAGAGTCAAAAACTTACATACAGCACCCTTAATATGACATGTTTAAAATAGAAACAGTTAATCAGAGCAAAGAGCACAGACTACTTACAACACGGATGTATCGCCTGTCCTTGAAATCTGCAATTTTTACTGCCACTTGAAGACCATCTTGTAAACGGGTCGCTGCGAAAACGGTTCCATAGCCTCCTTTGCCCAGCTCAGCCCCGATTTCATAAGACTTTGAGTTGATCTCTGTGAAAAGAGAAAGAAGAGAAGTTAATCAAATGTGAGAATTAGTGACAGTGGAATGAACCAACATCATATAAAACCTTTTTGAATCTTGTCTTCCCTATATGTATGATTATGGTTTTAATAATTTATATATATATATATATATATATATATATATATCCATCTCTGTTATCAGCTATCCCTGAACAAAATGTGTATTAAAGCCAATTTAAAGAATTAAAGTCATAAAAACACTAATAAAATATGCATGTCTGTTGGGTGAGTAGGGTGTCATGATCGTTAACTTACCAATGATGTGTGTGTCTTTGTTCTTCTGCTCTTCTGGCTGAGGTGGGACAGCGCCCTTTGTCTGACAGGTTGCCCCTTGAGCGACGTCATCTTTACAGCCGGGCTCAGCAGAGACCACATTTGGAGGGTCGTCATGACTACAGCCAGGCTCAGCAGAGACCACATTTGGAGGGGGGTCATCACCGCAGCCGGACTCAGCGGACAGAAAATCTGTAGAGGCGTCATCACCACAGCCGGACTCAGCGGACAGAAAATCTGTAGAGGCGTCATCACCACAGCCGGACTCAGCAGAGAAGAAGCTGCTGTAGGAGCTGGCTGTGAGCTCAATACTACAGTTGAATCCGGCTGAGTAAATCTCTTGAGGAACATTATCACTACTTCTGGAGGAGCTGGCCGAGTCCTCACTGTGACCATCGACAGACTCTACCAGTGATTGTTCTTCACCGTGAACACTGTCAGGCTCTACCAGTGATGGTTCTTCACCGTGAACACTGTCAGGCTCTACCAGTGATGGTTCTTCACCGTGAACACTGTCAGGCTCTACCAGTGATGGTTCTTCACCGTGAACACTGTCAGGCTCTACCAGTGATGGATCTTCACCGTGAACACTGTCAGACTCTACCAGTGATGGTTCTTTACTCTGACCATCAACAGGTTCCTCCAGTGATGGTTCCTCAGTCTGAACATTGATCTGTTCCTCCAGATGAAAAGATAATTCTTCACACCAGTCACCGATTTCTTGACCTGAAGGAAGGAATAATGTGAAACAAAAGATTTTAGTTTTACTTAAATAATATTTATCCAGAGTTTATTATTTATATAAACAAATTGGTCATTAAATTAAAGAGGTCACACAATGAAATTACTGTTCATAATCAAATTCACTTTAATTAATGATTTGTTTTGTATAAATTCATGTCAATATGAACTTATAGCTGTTATAGTTTGTATCATATAACAATAAATAAAATAACCCTAAGCTTGGCAAAAACAACTAAAAACTATGAGAAAAGTTTTCATGTTTTCCACTACAAAAACCATTAAAACATTAAATATCAGCAATTGTTATCCATTAAAACCACTGCATTGTGTTTTAGGACATATTCCTGAAGGATTTAATGGTTTAGGATTACAAATTACAAGCAGAGACAAGGGATCAAACAGGGGTGTCGAACTAAAATCACTAAAATTTTGTGGGTTTTAATATTTTATTTGTTGATTTTTGTATGGCAGTAAACAATATTTCTGTTCATTTTCATAACAAATTATAATGTTTAGGTGGAATCTTAGAGCTCCTTCATTCTCCATAGAGAGCAAGGGTCCAGACACATTCAAAGGCCAGAAAGATACCAAAAACATCCCAAAAAAAAAACAGAGGAAGCCACGCTCAGGCATCCAGGAGTTTTATCGGTCCAAAGTGCTTGTGAACGCATGTAACACTGAAGAGAATAAACTGTTGTAAGTATTATCGTAGCTTGATAATATACCGATTGAACCACTGTTGCCATTTGGTCTGTTTGAGGAAGTTTTGTGGTATTTTTATGTACTTTGAGGAAGTCGGGAACCTTGCTGTATATGCAGGATGAGAGAGCTTTCAGAAACAACTTCATTTGTGTTCAGAAGATGAAAGAAGGTCTCAGGGGTTTGGAGTGACGTGAGGGTGAGTAATTAAATAGAGAATTTGCATTTTTGGGTGAACAAACCCTTCCATCTTGAAGCAGAGAAAATGATTTTGTCTTTACAGATTACGAATGCATAATGGAAAACTTTATGCAGAAGCAAAAATACTTTACTCAGTTTCTGTCTTGTTTTTAGTCCAAATATCAAAACATGAAATAAAGAAGCATTTTCTTGACAAGTAAAAATACAGTGTTGTTTTCAGAAATATGTGAAAATAAACTGAGTTTTCCTAAAAGCAAGCTAAATAATCTGCCAGAGGGGAAGGCAAATGTATTTCTTCATTGGCAGATAATTTTGCTTGTTTTAAGAGGGGAAAATAACTTTATTTTGACTCAATATTTATGAAAACCAGACAATATTCTTGCTTGTCTAGAAAAAAAGATTCTTGATTTAAAAATTTTATATTTGGACTAGAAACAAAACAAGAGCTATTATTTTATATTATTGTTGACACCATATTAGACACGTTTGTGTGAGCAGTTTTCATCAGGCCTGTATTATTATTCACTTTGTTTTTGTAAATAATGTTTTACAGTAAGGTCTAATAAGTGTAGAGCCCTACAAAGACTCCAGTATACATAATGAGCAACATGTTCTTATAACACAAAACATTATTTACCATCACTGGTGGCCACGGGGGGTACCGTGACCAGTCCTTGACGGTCGAAGCTTTCATCTTGACCTGAGACGGTGGAATTGATGGATCTTTCTCTCAGGAAGAGAGCAATTACTCCGAGTACGGTAAATAACATTTTTGGGTTAATTTCCGTACACTTAAATATGAGAAATGTTAAATAAACCTACAATAAATACTGAAATTCACTAAGTAAAGCTCGTTTGTCAGAGTAAGCCTTAATAAATCGTACGCTATCAGTTGACAATGTACGAAAAGCAAATTATTCAAAGCGAACTTTGTACAACTCAACTAAACACTTGTCAAGTAAGAGTAATTGCGAATGTGGATTGTAAGAGGTGTCTCTCGTAAGAATTCGAATGTGTTCCAGCGTTTCCCAGCCAACTGATACGTGATTGGTCAGTTTTGCACTGTGTATCTTTAATCTTCTCTAGTTAGCGGTTGTGTGTTTCCTTCACGGGTGTTTTTTGGAGCAAAATAAACTGATTTTTCAGGAAATCTTTGTTTGACTGTTTCCTGTTTGATGAATCATGACTGGTCGTTTGGTGAACTCGAGATTCGTTTTTTAATCATGGTTGATTAAAAACATTTACAGGTAAGATTTGTCTTAGCATTTATTTTGTTCTTCAAATGTAAGTTGTTGGCGATAAGCGCTTGTATACACATTAAACACAATATATTATAGTGTATATTATATCAGATTACTAGATATACACTATGACTCAATTTACTCAGCAAAATACAGAAGTTATGTACGTTAACAATGAATTTAATAAAATGGCGTCATGTCTTACTGGGTGAACAATCTGATTCATTCAATAAACTAATCAGTTTATGACGGAATAATAATATAAAAAAACACTAGTCATGTCAAAAACTGTTCACCTATTCACTTTTACTAATCTCTCCACCAGCAGTTATGCAGTAAGAATGTGTGTGTGTGTGTGTGTGTGTGTGTGTGTGTGTGTGTGTGTGTGTGTGTGTGTGTGTATATATATATATATATATATATATATATATATATTTATATATATATAATGCAATTTAAACACCAATTGTTTTCTTTTATTTGATTGTATTTATTAACAGTATTATGAAAATAACCAACGTTATTAATGAAGTGTTTTGAATTATGTAAACATTATATCTGTGTGGTTTTGGTCAGTGTCCTGCATTCAGTCAGTGTCCTGGACTATCACTTTCTCATGTTGGATTTTAAGAAATGGCACTTAAAAATGCTCTCAAAATTCAAAATACACTTAAAAAAATTTTGAAAAAAATGATAAAAAAACTGGTCAAAAAATGCACTGATCTTGTAAGAGTGTCTATCTCTGCACATATCTGAGTGTCTATTAAACATTGCTGTTCTTGGTTTAATAGGATGTAGAGGAAATATACACAGAGAATGTGAAGCGACAGAAAGAAGAACAAACCTCCAAGCACCACAAGTATGTAGAAAGCAGATTATTGCATGTTTGTTGAGAATTGTTTCTGAATATTCATTACAGGGATCATGATATGAATTAAAGACATGGATTTATATTAATATGTTCTTAGATATTCTCAATAAAAAGGGTTTTACAAATGTACAGTGTCCAGCATAAATGAGTATAGTGTGTCCCTTTGAAAACTAAGTTTTTTTTTAAATAAAATTTCTCATAATCGACAGTCTGTATTACTAACTTTTATTAAACAGTCAACATTTAAAGCAGTTAAAGAGTATGTTCATTACATTTTTATGATGATAAAATCATATATTTAATTTTAGTGAAATATATACATACTGTTTTTTTTTTTTACCAAATTTCTGTTTAACGTAGAGATTTTTACAACACATTTCTAAACATAATAGTTTTACTTACTCATTTCTAATAACTGATTTCTTTTATCTTTGCCATGAGGACAGTAAATAATATTTGACTAGACATTTTTCAAGACACTTCTATACAGCTTAAAGTGACATTTAACTAGGTTAGTTAGACATGTTAGGGTAATTAGGCAAGTCATTGTACATACACTGGCCACTTTATTAGGTACACTTTACTAGTACCAGGTTTATCCCCCTTTTGCCTTCAGAACTGCCTAAATCCTTCATGGCATAGATTCAACAATGTTTCGACATATTAAGGTTTGAAATGTTGTGCGTTCAGAGATGCTCTTCTGCAGACCTCTGCTTTAAAGAGTGGTTATTTGAGTTCTATCAACTCAAACCAGTCTGGCCATTCTCCTCTGACCTCTGGCATCAACAAGGCATTTGCGCCCACAGAACTGCCGCTCACTGTATATTTTCTCTCTTTCAGACCAATCTCTGTAAACCCTAAGAGATGCTTGTGCATAAAAATCTCAAAAGATCAGCAGTTTCTAAAATACTCACTTAAAAAGTTTTGAAAAAATTTATGGAATGAGAATTCAAACTGGTCAAAAAATGCACTGAACTTGTGAGAGTAGCACCACCAGTGTCTATCTCTGCACATGTCTGAGTGTCTGTAAATCATTATAACAATATTAAACATGGCTGTTCTTGGTTTAATAGGATGCAGAGGAAATATACACAGAGAATGTGAAGCGACAGAAGAACAAACCTCCAAGCACCACAAGTATGTAAAGAGCAGATTATTGCATGTTTGTTGAGAATTGTTTCTAAATATTCATTACAGGGATCATGATATGTATTAAAGGCATGGATTTATATTAATATTTTCTTAGATATTCACGTTAAAAAGGGGTTTTACAAATGTACAGTGTCCAGCATAAATGAGTATAGTGTGTCCCTTTGAAAACTAAAGTTTTTTTTAAATAAATCATCTCATAATCGACAATCTGTATTGCAATAACTTTACTAACTTCTATTAAACAGTCAACATTTAAAGCAGTTAAAGAGTATGCTCCTAACATTTTTATGATGATAAAATCATATATTTAATTTTAGTGAGATATACATACTGGTTGTTCTTTTGTCTGTTGTACCTTTAGTTTGTAAATCGTATTTTGGCATCTTTAACCCACGGCAAAGTGTGCATGCATAGCTGAGATTACAACTGTCTGAATACTCATGCGCAGCTGAGATTGTCTAAGATTGTATCTCATCTGCATCCAGGCTCTGTTGGTCCTGAGTAAGAGAGATGTTAACAGTAACACTGCAAACACCCAAAGACTGGAATAATTATTCAAAAAACAAATTCACTTAAAAGATTAATTTACACAGAAAACAGCCATTGTAAAAATAAAAATATATTTGGCAATTCACCTGTTTTTATTGTATTTTTGACCTAATAAACGCTGCCTTATGGTGAGCAGAAAATACTTTTCCCTCAGAAACATTAAACAAAATATGAATGTCTCCAAAATTTTGACCAGCAGTGTAACATGTAAACCATTATCTTATTTATATAATTCATTCATATATGCAAGGAAAGGCTTTATAGCAACAGGTTGAAATTCTGTCACATAAAAAAATGTAAAACATTGAAAACACAAAAAATGTATCTAAAAAATTATTGTTTTAATGTCTGACTTCTGTAATTTATAACGAAGACCAAGAATATATATTATCTGGTAAGAATCCAAGCATGTTTAATAGATGTTACACAATTCCCCATAAATCTTTATTTAATAGTTTTGATAACTGTCATAAGAAAATCTGTGTACATGCCACATTTTTATCTCTGTCATTCAGAAATTTAACAACCAAATTATTGTGTAATACAGTGAGGATGCACTGGAATATTTTTACCCACAGCTTTGCTTCTATTACAGTATTTGTGTAAACAGTAATAGCCACTGCAATAAAGCAGACATATTGAAAGAGGACCTATTAAATGCCCCTTTTTACAAGATGTAAGTCTCTGGTGTCCCCTGTAATGGATGGGACACCAGACAATGGAGTTGAGGATCCACACCCAGTTTAATAAACAGATTAGTCAGACAAGCAACGGTCAAAACAGGGGCAAACACAAGCATACATGTAATCCAAAATACAGAAAAAAACAGGCGAATGGTCAGGACAGGCGGCGAAAACAACGGAAACAAAACATTGTAAAAGGTCAAAAACACGATTAGACAAGACAAGGAAAAGCTTTGTAAAGTTACAGACTAGCAAGACTCAGCAAAGAAGTGTGTGTGTGTATGCGCTGTGTTTATAGTCCTGGTACTCCATGAGAATGATCTTCACCTTTTTGTGTGGGTGTATCAGACCAGATAGTTCACAGCTGTAGCAGGAGTTGATTGCCACAAAGCATCCTGGTAATTGTAGTTCATGTGATTCCAGATGTGTAGTTCTCAAGCTATGCATAGATCGCCTGTGATCATGACATCTCCAGAGTGTGTATGTAAAGTTTCAGCTCAGAATACTCCACAAATAATGTTTTATAATTCTTTGAAACAGCCCCCTTTAGGCTTTGATTCTAATTGTGCCATTTTGGTGACTGTCGGTTTTAATTGAAATGCTTGTGCCTTTAAAAAGAGGGTGGAGCTACAAATGCCTATGTGTCAGCATAGTGGCTGATTCAAAACTCTAATGGCGGATGGCTGCTTCTCACTTACGTCTGTCTATGCTTATGAGGAAGAGATTGTCACTAATGGGCGGGGCTTTTCCCAGTCTGATGCCACCTACAAAGGTAGAAGTGTTTCTGTTTTTATCAAGTGTGATTATAAAAAATTGAATGAATTATTTTTTACCATTAGAGGCTCGCTATATTCACAGACTGCTGCCACAAAACAGTGTTTAAACCCCTTATAAAGTGATTTTTGTATAATATGTGCCATTTAAAACGTGAAACTTAAAGAGACTAGAAGAAAAAGAATAAACAGACTAATCTAAAATTATATCTTGCTTCCTTCCTTGAATAAAAACCTCGTAATGACTCAATTGGACTATCTATATGAGCTTCTCAGGAAGATCCATTCCTGCGTGCCCTTTAGACTTAGCTGATAAAAGCTGTAAACGTTGTCTTGTATGGAAATCATAATGCATGTGCAGATTTTTATGTCAGATAAAAGCAGTTCTATTCTATCTTGTTTTGTTAGTGAAGTGGCGTTGAGGGAAAGATTATATAGTATAATAATATGATTATTATATCGTTTCTTTCTTTACAATGTCATTTGCGATCACATTTTATTATCTGGATCTGAATTTACGATTGTCATCATGTAGAATTGGCTTGTGATGCAGTACTGAACTTTGATTTACCACGGAAACATACATAGTCACCAGTAATTTAATTTAAAATCACGCTTTATGAGAACAAAAACAGTTTATTTACTTCATATGTACAACAGTTTTAAAATGAGTCACGCAAACTTACTTTATAACCATTTTACAGGTCTATATGTCTATGTAATTTAAAAGTGCAAAAGTGTTAACCAGACATATTTAACATATTCATTCTGTTTGTTACTTACTGTGAATGACACAACAAACATATTCAACCCAGGCTCATTCTATTCTACTTTATACAGTTTTGGAGAGCACCAAATACTTCCCAGGAGCAACTTTTTTTAAAAAGTTTTTGTTGTCGCATATCCACCAGAGGCTGCTGTGTACTCTTTTTCAGATCTCAGATTTCTCTCGCGAGTGTCATTCGCACCTGCTGTTACGTAAATCCACCAGAGGACGCTGTCGAATGACCGAATGATAGACTGACTTATCGACTGACCCACCCTCCTCCTTTCTTAAACCCAACCAATAGTGTTTTCAAACGCAGCGATTGACCAGCGCCCACCCACTTCCCTCAAGCCAACCCACAGTTTGCAAAGGCAATCCAGAAATCGAAAAACCTCCTGCTGATTTTTACCATGTTTTCTGATTTACCACATACTTACCCTGTTATTTATTGTTTATTTTATTTTTTGGCTTCTGTTTTTGTTTTAGCTGCTTTCTGGATACGTTCTTCTCTGGACTCAAACCCCTGACATTGTGGTCAACTCCTCCCTGTGTCTCAAGTCTGCCAACGTACGTGGTGAGCTACATGACAAACTGGTAACTGCAGGAAAGCTGTCCATACGGAGGTAAGCGGTCAGCTGGTAAGCGACCATATCACCCCGTAGCGTTTGTTTTAAAGACGAAATGCAGCCATACGTACTTCTGGCTACATAATCCGTGATCTCCAGAAATGTATATAGAGCTACATTTTCAGAATGAGCCTATGTCGAACATATTCAAAGAAATATTAATACACTGATAAGATTTATAGAAAGATACTCTATGAAAACAGGAATCTTTTTCAATACTGTAAACATGCTGTAAAAATAATTTCTGAAAGACAACAAAAACAATGTACATTTTACAAATGAAGATACAGTTGAATTGTTAGCCCCCCCAGAATAATTTTTTTACCCAATTTCTGTTTAACGAAGAAAGTTTTTAACACATTTCTACTAACTGATTTCTTTTATCTTTGCCATGATGACAGTAAATAATATTTTACTAAATATTTTTCAAGACACTTCTATACAGCTTAAAGTGACATTTAAAGGCTTAACTAGGTTAATTAGGCAAATTAAAGTAATTAGTCAAGTCATTGTGCAGTATGTACACTGGCCACTTTAATAGGTACACCCTACTAGTACCAGGTTGATCCCCCTTTTGCCTTCAGAACTGCCTTAATCCTTCATGGCATAGATTCAACAATGTTTCGACATATTAAGGTTTGACATGTTGTGCGTTCAGAGATGCTCTTCTGTAGACCTGGCATCAACAAGGCATTTATGCCCACAGAACTGCTCTTTACTGGATAATTACTCTCTTTCGGACTATTCACTGTAAACCCTAGATATGGCTGTGCATGAAAATCCCAATAGATCAGCAGTTTCTGAAATACTCAATCCAGCCCGTCTGAAACTAACAACCATGCCACATTCAAAGTCACTTAAATCACCTGGCATGTAATTGGTTGATTAGAAATTAGCGTTAACGAGAAGTTGGACAGGTGCACGTAATAAAGTGGCTGGTGACTGTGTAATGATGTTTTTTTCTGTAGACAATCGAAAAGAATATATTGCTTAAGGGGGCTAATAATGTTGACCTTAAAATGTTCTTTAAAAAAAATAAAAACTGCTTTGATTCTAGCCGAAATAAAAAATTTAAGAGAAAAATCGTTATCAAACATATTGTGAAAAATTCCTCGCAGTTAAACATCATTTGGAAAATATTTGAAAAAGAAAAAAAATCCAAGGAGGGCTAATCATTTTGACTTCAGCTGTATATACTGAGGCAGAAATATCATCTAGAAATATATTTACAGTTGCGTCTGGGAAATAATATTGTCTTCTTTGTCGTCTTTCAGCTTGGGCTTGATTGGTTTGAGGAAGTCCTCAGTAACTTGTGGAGTCGGATGCTTGTACTCGTTGTACTCCACGTAAAGGTAAGTTACCATAGTAAGAGCCAGAACTGCCAAAGCTATGTAGATCTTGGTGGACAGGCAGATGAATGTGCTGTAAGCAAATGCTATGACGAAACCCAGTGACTCCCACATGCGATAGTTGGCGAAAGCTGCTTCTTTATTCTTAGCAAAGAGGATGCCATAAAGTGCTGCAGTGAAGTAAAATACAGAACAGTAAATAAAAGAAACATCTATCCATTCATCTATGCCTTATATATCAACACAGCAATGACAATTCACTTTCATCAGATTAGATTTATCAGACTCTTTATCAGACTTTAAACCAAAACTATCCATTTTATATTGGTTATTATAGCTTGACCTTATAGTTGCACTCAGATCGAGCCCCTCACCATTGGTTTGTGTTTGCCACACAGCGTCTGCCATTCCCCAGAGGGCCGGAAACACGAAGAAGATGGCCAGCTGGTCTGGATGAGGCTTCCAGTACAAAAGACCCAGAAAAGAGCCCAGGTTTATTGCTGCAGCTGTAAAAGTGGAGAAAAACAGAATGAGCATAAATTCTAGCAAGCAACAAAATTTTACATTTTATTATACAGTTGAAGTCAGAATTATTAGCCATTTTGAATCCCCCAATTTCTGATTAACAGAGATTTTTTCAACACATTTTTCAACATAATAGTTTTAATAACTCCTTTCTAATAATGGATTTTATAATAATTTGATTTTATCTTTGCCATGATGACAGGACATAATTTTACTAGATGTTTTTCAAGATTCTAGTATTGAGCTTAATGTAGTTAAAGGCTTAACTAGAGTAATTAGGCTAGTTAGGGTAATTAAGCAACTCATTGGGCTCTATTTTGTCGATACACAAGCAAAGTGCAAAGCACACCCTTACACATTAAGAGCGAGCCAGAATCCACTTTTACTATTTTAAGGACGGAAAAATCCACTTTGTGCATGGTCTGAAAGGGTAATGCTTATTTTCTTAATTAGTTAAAGGTGTGTTTTGAGAATAAACCAATCGGAGTCTGATGAACAATGATAACGAAGAGTGTTCGAAAAACTGAGTTATATCCTAAAACGCATGCTATGACCTATATGGTCTAAAACCTGACATGTGGGCAAATCTAAGCTTGATTTTAATAAAACAAATATAAATATGCATATAATAAATAATACTGCTAATAATAATAACATTATACAAAAGCAAATTGTTATGAATAAACTGAAAAAGCCCCCGAGATGAAGAAGGCATGAAATTATCTGGTTTTTATATTTTTTTAGGCTAGAAAATAATATGTTTAGTAATATTTTAATCATATATATATATATATATATATATATATATATATATATATATATATATATATATATATATATATATATATATATATATATATATATGATTAAAATATTACTATATATATAATATTTATAATATTATATATAATATTATATATATCCTATATATAACCTTAATATTTTAATTGCTTTACATCTTTTGTGTATTAAGCAGTGTGTCAGCGAGGCTCACAACTAGCGTGGTCTGCGAATTATTATTATTATTCTCAAAATATCAACGCACCAGCAATGCGCCTCAACACGCCTCCGTTTTTAGATCAGAACGCCTATGGGCGCACATATGAGTCCAAATGCATTTGCTATTTAAACAGCGTGGCGCAAAACATCAAAACAACTCTTGCGTCAAGCTGAAACTAGCAAACAACAATTGCATCACGCCATGCGCAACATTGCGCCAGGTGTATGATAGGGCCCATTGTATAAAAGTGGTTTGTTCTGTAGACAGTCTGAAAAAAAACCTTAAGAGGGCTAATCATTTTGACCTTAAAATGATTTTTAAAAAAATGTAAAAACTACTTTTATTGTAGTTAAAATAAAACAAATAAGACTTTCTCTGTTGGAAAAAAATATTATATGAGATACTGTAAAACATTCCTTGCTCTGTTAAACATCGTTTGGAAAATATATGAAAATACTGGCTAATCATTTTGACTTCAACTGTATGTCAATCACTTGCATTACCCAAGCAGAAGAGGGCAATTCTTCCAGTGTACTGAGCCAGTCTCCCAAACGCAAATGAACACAGAGAGTTTGAAGCTGCAAAGCAGATCATCACGAAACCAACGTTATGTATTCCTAACGCACAAGTCACGTAGTTCTGCAGAAGGAAGAGGATCACAAACACATTCAAGTTATATTTCATTGGGATGGGTTAGTTTACATGCACCCCTCACTGTAAAAACATGTCTGAATTAAGGGTTTTAAATTGCATTATGGGACCTTGATCTTTCCTCCAACACCTATTGTGGTTAAAAAGTGACTTTTATTGAGATGTGTAACAGTTTGAAGTAATACAATTAGGGGAACAGAGCTGTTCTGTGAAATATTTATTCTTTTTTAAATATTTCTCAAGTGATATTTAATGGAGCAAGGAAATTTTCTCAGAAGTCTTATTTGTTTTATTTCCGCTGGAATAAAAACAATTTTTAATTTTTTAAATCATTTTAAGGTCAATATTATTAGCCTCCTTAAGCTATATTTTTTCAATTGTCTACAGAACAAACCATCATTATACAATAACTTGTCTAATTACACAAACTAATTGACCTTGTTAAGCCTTTAAATGTCACTTTAAGCTGAATACTAATAACTTGAAAAATATCTAGTCAAATATTATTTACTGTCATCATGGCAAAGATAAAATAAATCAGTTGTTAGAAATGAGTTATTAAAACTATTATGTTTGGAAATGTGTTGAAAAATCTGCTCTCCTTTAAACAAAAAATTGGGGAAAAAATATAGAGTAGGCTAATAATTTTGACTTCAACTGTATCGTCCTGGCTTGTTTATTAAAATACTGTACAAAAATCTGGTCATAAACAGTCAGTAGCTTACTTTCTTTTTTATTTTACCCACTTAATTCTCTCTATATTATTTTGTATACAATATTTTGTTTCAAACTACTAAAATTAAACATTTGTATTTTTAACACCAGAAGTCGACAGAGCAGAGATCAAGCTCCCATAATGCAATTCATAACCATAAATAAACAGAGCAAAACCTGTGAATAACAAAATAGTACACAGAACCTGTTAACAAACGAATACAAATTATAGTGCAGTCTGTATTTTACCTTTGTGTATTCACCAGAAAGAAAACTTTGCTCAAATCCACTGTACATGGTCAACGGGATGAGCAGCAACAATCTGGGGTCTCTCAGGAGCTTGAAGGTGGCCAGAAAGGTGTCCCAAAAGGATTTGTTGCCCTTAGTGCTGCGAAACTCTTTAGCCTCATCTCGATCTATATTGTCCAGGAACACCGCCACGAAAATAATGGCCAGAAGCCCCACACCTGAATGGAGCAAGACACACTTAGTTAGCAGTGTTGGTGAGTAGCTAGCTACAAATAGCTTATCTACTTGCTTAGCTGCATTTTTCAGAAGCTTGATAGTAACTCAGTTAGCTTTCCCGCTAACTACACAGTTTTTGTATTTTGTAATTTGCAAGTGTTTTCCATTTATTATGGTTTGTGAAATTACATTATGGGAGCTTGATTTCTGCTCTGTCGACTTTTGATGTTGAACATTCAACTCTACAGTTTAACAAAGTGATTTTATTGACATAGTTTGAAATACTGTAATGTATACGAAATTATGTATGTATCAGTATATAAATGTACTGGCAGTTTGTTACAAGGTTTTTGTAGCATAAATAACAACAGCAACCCAGACTATAAATCACTTTAAACTGTTACAAATGTTAATAAAAGTCACTTTTTCAAACTTTTCAAGGTTATAAGTAGTTGGAAGAAAGATCCAAGTCCCATAATGCAATTCAAAAACATAAACACACTAATAACATGAATCACAAGATACAACTGCTAAATCACAGATATTCTCTAGTGTAGCTATTTTTACAGCAAGTAGCAAATTAGCTAGACAAAAGATAATGTACATTTACTAAACATTCACTGATCTGAAGTGTTCTCCTACAAACACAGTATTTGGCTGTTTTCTGCAGCCATCTATTGGTACATCTTACATGTAATTATTTAATTTATTAATTTATTTTTGTTAATTTGTAAATAATGTTTATCAAGTAACAACAGTTAAAATTCAATCCATAAAATATTCAGTAAACAGTTGACAATTAACCTAAAGTAAAAACATTGTGTTAGGGCTTTAGTAAACTTTACTACCAAAATGTGTCACTTTTAAGTTTTATTCATTCAGTCATTTTCCTTTGGCTTAGTCTCTTATTTCTCTGAGGTTACCACAGCAGAATGAACCGCCAACTTTTACACCCTTACACTCTCACATTTACACACTACGGCCAATTTAGTTAATCTAATTCACTTATACCGCATGTGTTTGGACTGTGGGGGAAACTGGAGCACCTGGAGGAAAGCTGCATTAACACAGGGAGAACATGCAAACTCCACATGGAAATGTCAACTGGCCCAGCCAGGACTCGAACCTGCGACCTTATTGCTGTGAGGCAATAGTGCTAACCCCTGAGCCACCGTGTCACGCAAGTTTTACTATTTAAATTATTACATTTAAAATGAAATCCAGAATAATATAAATAAAAAGGATTTGTTGCCCTTAGTGCTGCGAAACTCTTTAGCCTGATCTCGATCTATATTGTCCAGGAACACCGCCACGAAAATAATGGCCAGTAGCCCCACACCTGAACGAAGCAAGACACGCTTGGTTAGCAGTGTTGGTGAGTAGCTAGCTACAAATAGCTTATCTACTAGCTTAGGTGCATTTTCTCAGGGGTTACCACAGCAAAATGAACCGCCAAGTTTTCCAGCATGTGTTTTAACAGAGCGGAAGCCCTTCCGAACTCCACATAGAAATGTCAACTGGCCCAGCCAGGACTCGAACCTGCGACCTTATTGCTGTGAGGCAACAGTGCTAACCTCTGAGCCACCGTGTCACGCAAGTTTTACTATTTAAATTATCACATTTAAAATAAAATCCAGAATAATATAAATTAAAACCACAGAACTTGTAATAAATAAATGAAATAATTTACTTATTTTAGTAAACCCTAAAGTGTTTTGGATAAAAATATGATTACAGATATTGTTTCTACCTACCGATGTAACAGCCTAGTAGTGTATCGACAAGGTGTTTTGATGGACGGGTTGAGTTTCCAATGACAGTGAAATTGTCCAGGCATGTTGACACACCGCAGAACTCCAGGTTCTCCTTGGGGACTTCAACTAATGATACATAAACAATCAATGCATATACAATTACCAAAAAAAGTACATTATCAGTGTTTTAATTGAGCTGTACCTATATTTTGGTCCTGGCCAAATATCAGAGATGACATGAGGTTTCCCCATACTCCAGAAGACTGAAAGATGAAGAAAAAGATTCCAAAATATTGGTTGATGAGATCCTGGCCTTTTTTGTTGTGTTTCTGGCCTTGCCTGTTTCCACTTATTGTAAGATAAGTGCATTTTGCAGACCACAGCGGTGAACCTCCCATTCCCAGGATGGCAGAGGTGGACATCAGACTTGCCCTGCAGACAAAAAAATAATAATAATTTAATTTAGAAAGGTACTGAAATGCATTGCGGGTGACACAAAATCACATAACTTTTTCATGCGCATACTAGAATTAGTTCGGTAAAAGTGTTTCCATCGTAGTTTATGCACATTTTTTTATCAACACACTAAAATCCTACTCAGTTATGCACACATTTTGAATATATGCATAAAAAATTGTTAAAGGAAATGCCAAGATGCGCACACATTTTTTTAAATGTGCAAAAAAAGCATGCATAACCGAGTAGAATAAAATTTTTATTCTATAATAAAATGTAAATAAATAGCTGCATGGAAACATAGATATTCACTTGCATTATATGAATCATCAAGACCACAGATTCAGTAAAAAAATCTTCTTTAACTTGTTAGGCAGCACCCACTTTGGATTTTAGGAACCATTGGAAAGCTTGTGGTCCATCTAGCCAGTTTAATACTAAAAAAATATAAAAAGTTTTACAGGCCAGTGGGTTAGCAAATCAACTGTACATTTTCATTTTTGGAGGAACTATCTCTCTAAATCTGTATTTATGTCTTATGTGACAGCTACTACTTTAGGCTCAGATGTTCAGATGCCAAAAGCAAACAACAAAAATGACTAATATGCAATTTAATATAATTCTTATTATCTTATTGGTTATACACTGTAAACAAAAAGTTAAGACAACACATATTTTGTATGTTGCTTTAACTTATTTTTAATAAGTTAATCAGGTTTCAACTAATTTTTTTAAGTTAAACAATGTTGAACCTAATATTTTAAGTCAATTTCATCGATGTAAGATAACTAGAAAATTTCATTTGATTCAAGTAAAAAAATTAAGGCAGCAAGAATTGTTTTTACAGTGTATCTATGCCTAATCTGAGAGCTCTGGAAGTGATTTATCTTTTCTAAACCGATAATAAAAAACTATTGATGTCTGTTTTAATACAGCACATGCATAAACTGTAGTGGACATCATGATTTTAGAAATTATTTGTGTTCAGAGGACCAGGAGCGTACTTAACCAATAAGCAAGGTAAGCAGCCGCTTAGGGCCCCAGGGAATTAGGCCAGGAGGCATATAATGATCATATATCTAAACTTTCATCATATATTGTAAAATATGTCTATAACCACTAAGATTTTAATGTTATTACTTTTTTTTCTCTGAGTAGTGAAACGTCCGTACTGCAGATGCAAATATTAAAATCACAAATGAGGCTATATAACTATATAATTTGTGAACAGGTATCACGGTGGCGCAAGGGGTAGCATGATCGCCTCACAGCAAGAAGGTCGCTGGTTCGAGCCTTAGCTTGGTCAGTTGGAATTTCTTTATGGAGTTTGCATGTTCTCCCCGTGTTAATGTGAGTTTTCTCTGGGTGCTCTGGTTTCCCCCACAGTCCAAAGACATTCGGTATAGGTGAATGAGTAGCTAAATTGTCCCTAGTGTTTGTGTGTGAATGAGTGTGTTTGGGTATTTCCCAGTGTTGAGTTGCTGCTGAAAAGGCATTCATTGCGTAAACGTGCTGGATAAGTTGGCGGTTTATTCCGCTGTGGTGACCTCTGATTAATGAAGGGACTAAGCCGAAAAGAAAATGAATGAATGAATGAATGAATGAATGAAGTCATATTTAGTAAACTTTTTTTTTTTTTTTTTTTATTATATTTAAGTTTATATTAAAAAGATAAAGGTTCCACTTCAAATATATTTTAATTTGCATTTTTATAAAAAAAAAAAATGTAATCTACAGAGAAAAGAAAAATCTATAGAGAAAGAGAATGTTTCGAGTTTCATTACTAGGGCCCCATACCTGGAATTGCTTAGGGCCCCCAAATCACTAAGTCTGCCCTGGCAAATGACATTTGACTAAACAGTGGAGCAAATTCTTTGACCCAAAAAAAGTATTCAATATTTCACTATTTAAAAAGCAGATTAGAATGGTTTCTGAAGGATCATAATGTGATGCTGAAAATCATCATAATTTTCCCACAATATTACAGTAAGCACATAAGGTAGAGAAATGGCAACGCACCAGCCTGGCGCTAGGTTTCCAAAGGAATACGCCACGTAACAACCCATAGAAACGACAATGGTCCATTTACAGCCCAGATTTTTAATCATAATTGGTGGCAGAAACATCGAGGACAGAATGATGGCTGCATAGATGACACTGAGCGAAATCACACCCATTCCTTCCTCAGCATTGAGACTGCTCTGTAACATACAAAAACTCTACTGTCAGTATAAATAAAACAACTAATCAATACTAATCAGTGAGACACACATTTAGTTAACAATGCAGCAGTTAGTTAACTATACAAATAAGTTATGACTAGTCAGTTGGCATTCCTGTGAATCTGCATGTTGGCGAGGGTTTTCCCCGGGTGCTCTGGTGCTCTTTGGAACATAATCCAAAGACATGCGCTATAGGTCAATTGGGGAGGCTAATTTGGCAGTAATGTATGAGTGTGTGTAAATGTGAGTGTGTATGGGTGTTTTTCAGTACTAGGTTGTGGCTGGAAGAGTATCCACTGTGTAAAACATATGCTGGAATAGCAGGTGGTTCATTCCACTGTGGCGACATTTTTCATTTTTACATAAATATATCTCTTACAGTGAACACTAAACATTATTTCTTCCATATTTTAACATTTTATTGAAAAAAATATATTAACTTCAAATGTGTGCCTTATTTGTATATAATATGCTTTTGGTGTGTATGAAATCACATTTGTAAATGTCATTTAATACACCAATATTGAATGTCTCGTCTTTTTGGGACAAATAATGAGACATTATAGAGCAAATAAGCATATTTTCAGTCATATTCATTCAATTTTTAGGACCTATAACAGGATGTCTGCAGGGTCTTAAAAAGTCAAGTACAATTTGACTTCATCAACTGATTATCTTTTCGGCTCAGTCCCTTTATTAATCTGGGGTCACCACAGAGGAATAATCCGCCAATTCATCCAGCATATGTTTTACGCAGCAAATGCCCTTTCAACAATAACCTATCACTGGAAAACACCCATACACTCCCATTCCCCAATACACTCCCAATTTAGCTTACCTGATTCACCTAAAGTGCATGTCTTTGGACTGTGGGGGAAACCGGAGCACCTAGACAAAACCCACACCAACACAGAGAGAACATGCAAATTCCACACAGAAATGCCAACTGACCCAGCCGAAGCTCGAACCAGTGACCTTCTTGCTGTGAGGCGACAGTGCTACCCACTGCACCACCACACCGCCCTTTGACTCAAAAAAAGAGAAGTCTTAAAAAGTCTTTCATTCACAGAAATATTGTGTTGTAGGTCTTAAATCATTTTAAACAGGTTTTAATTTCAAAAGTTGTTTAAGTAAAGTTAACAAATCAGGCCAACAACCATCCAATGACCAACAATCTATTAAGATAAGATCTACTTAGATATGTTTAATAGTTTTGATTTCAAAGAGATTTATTTCACAACAGCTGTTAAACGTTTTATAGCAATTTCTTAAGATTAAATGACCCAAATCAGGAAAAGAAAACTAAAATCTAAAACTAAATTCCTCATAATAGTACCAGCAATATATCCCTTTACATAATCTTTTATTTACACCAAAACAATTTAAGAAGAAAGTGTGAGTGAAAATAATATTCAATCAAAAGCAAACAAATATATATATATATATATATATATATATAATATTGTATAATTTATAATTATATATATATATATATATAATTTGTGTAGTTTTATTTATAATAAATATACTTTTAACAATGTTAAACTTAAAACAAACAAAACATTATTTTGAAAAAAGTCTGTACAACTACAGTTTTCTTTTTTTGACACAATAAATGATGTGATTAAGAAATAACTACATTTGGTTTTTCCAATTCCATTGGTCCAATCAAGATATTACAAAAAATCCTCAGTGTTTAGCTTTGTAGAAGTCTAAAATCTCATTCATAATGGTCTTAAATGATCATAAAAAGTCTTAAATTTGACTTGATAAAACCCTGTATAATTCTAATAAATGGTTATTTACCATCATGATGCAAATCATGTAGAAAATTGCCTACATTTAAGAAAAGTCAATTACTTTGTTTACATTTTAAGTTATTAGGCATCACTTTTGTTCCAACAAAAAACAATTACACTACATTTTTAAGGTAACTGATTGCACAAAATGTATATGGGCTGAATTTAAACAAACAAATTAAGTTGATCATTGCTAAATTTTATTAGTTTGTTTAAATTCAGCAACAAGTTAAAACAATTTAGTTAATCCAATTAATCCTTTTTTTAAGCTTAGTTATTTTGATAAATTGACTAAAGTTGTTGCTTTAAAATGTGCAAGTTGACTTAAAGTGAGTAAATCCACTTTAACTGTTAAATTGACTTATTATAATTATATTCATAGTTTATTTACCTAATAATTTGAGGAAACGGGTTTACTTTGTAGGTTAGGTCCATTGATCACTTTAAAAGCATGTTTACTCATTTTTTAGGTAAAATTTCTATTCTTCAAAACAACACAATTATCTCTGATATATATCATATAATCTGTTACCTGTAAACTTTGCAGCCCTCCATATGCTGTGAATAATAACAAAAATCCAAAAGAAACCACCAAGACATTTTTGGTGTTTCGGCTCATAATTTTTTTCATCGTGAAATCCTGTAAATGCTTCCAAAGGGAGAAATTCCTACTGCAAAACGTGTCAGTTTAAAATAAACCAGATACTAGATTGACTTGGAATTCGCACTGAGCTAATATAGCGAGCATGAACATGCTGTAGGTCAAAGTTCAGTGTAATGTAGTCGTAAAGGGATGCAGCATTTGGATGACTAAAGCTAGGTCAATGAAAGGCAAAACTGCTGATCTCTTATCAGTCACTAAAAGTGTTTCCAAAGTTGGAAAAACACACATTGCCATTCTAAAAATACTGAATGTTGTTAACACTGAAGATAAAATGTAAATACAACAAGATTCAAATTGTGCTAATAGCCTTCGTGCAGTAGTTAAGTGAGAGGTTTTATGATGTCAGTGTGATGATTGTTTTATTGTGCTAATTTTCTCAAGTATTATCTGACATGTGTTATCACATCAAGCAAAACGTGCTGCATATTTTTACAGTAATACATTTAAATGACTGATATTATTGCTCAGTTTGTTCTCACTAAATGTATAGAGGAGAGATGGTTTGCATTTGGTTTAAATTAGTTATCATATGCTCAAGGAGTTGGTGTTTTTTTTTTCTTCTGTATACTATCACAATGATTACAGGACCAAATTGGTAATTATACTGATTAAGTGTTGAGTAAAAGGCCCCTTGCATAGTTTGAACCTACAACCTTTCGGTTATTAGCCTAGATATTAGGCTGTAACACACTGCCTTTTGCACCTATAAGCTCAGTTACCATAGCATCACTATAAACAGACAGTAAAAAACAAAACTGTAAAACCAACTGAATCAGTTTTGTTCATGTGGACTCATACAGCTAAAAATGCTGGGTTGTTCCCCTCAAATTTGGGTGAATATGGACTATCCCAAGCATTAAGTTAAAACTGCAGCTGTAAAAAATGCAGGGTTTCACACAATTCCTTCATGTTGTCCCAACACAGAAGTTTATTTAATCATGTTTATAAATTTAAGTGGGTTAAATATATAAAACAATTAAGTTGTCTCCAAAAAACTTTTACAATGAGTTTCAACTCATTATAAATAAGTAGTTTGAACAGGCAGCAAAAGCTTTTAAACATTTAAAATAGTTTTACCCTCCCTGCAGTTGAGTTTGCCAAAATTATTTCAAAATTTGGTCATGTAAATGTAGCTGCAGAGTATTCTTCATGTGTGTATTATGCAATGAAATCTAAATTATACATGGGGTTATATTTATATTACTATATACAAACCTTGAACTTTAGTAGCTATCATAAAAAATCATGTTGGATTATTGAGGATACTGGAGGTTATGGTATATTGTCACTTTAGTCGTGGTTAAAAGCTCTTCTTAGGGATGACACATGGCAAACAGCTTTAGCTTTAACTATATTAACAATTTAGCACTTCCTCATTGGTGTCTTATTGCATCAATTACCACCAGTAAGTGGATTGTCCTTTTAACAGTGACATTTGTATTAAACTGAAGCAAATCATTTGTTATTTGGCACCGTTATGCAACCACTTTCTGCCTGATATGCTGGAATTTTTCCACAATCTGAATTATTGTTATGGCTTATAATTATTTTTTTCTTCATCTATGTTAAGCTGCTTTGAAACTGTCTTCATTGTAACTTAAAATACTTAAAAAATAATATTAAATAAATAAAAAACACACCTGTTATTGTGTGTCAGTAATTGTGTGTAATAAGGACACGGCCCCAAATTTAGGATTGAAGAATAGAATGTCTGCCGAAGAATAGATCTTTTTTTAATGTCCTGATATAACTCACTTTTATTTGTATACCGCTTGAATAATGAATAATGTCCTGACTTTATATGTTATGTATTAGACTTTATATTGTATATATTCTGTAGTCTCAAATAGACAGTACTTTCAAAGTAACAGTGACCTCGACTTTTTACTTGATGCTGGAGAACTGCAGAGCTTGTGCAAACAGATCCAGATTGTTATGGTCAGATGCTTTCAGTAGCATAAATGCTACATAAAACGATGTTCAAACTCACATTAGTAGCATTTAACACTGAATAAAGCACGCAATCAGTACCTGAGGTGATCATTGTCATAGTAGTTTATGCTGTTGCTCTATTGTGACATTGCAGAAACAGAAAGCCTCTCTAAAATAGAAATGTTGTGCATCACTGTCACAGATGTTTAAAACAAAAACTCCTTTTAAATAAAAAAGATACATTTTATTGCGTGTCACAGTGTAGAATCGTGTTTAGTTTGGACACAAACCAAAATTTAAGATTAAAGAATAAAATCTCTGCTGAAGAATAAATCATTTTTAATGTCCTGAAATAAAAAATGTGAATTGAATAGGTTTTCCTGACTTCATATGTTATATATTTGACTTTATGATTTATATATTTTGTAGTCTTAAATATACAGTGACTTCATTTGTCAACATCAAGTGCTGGAGAGCTGCAGGGCTTGTGCAAACAGATCCACATTGCTATGATCAGATGCTTTCAGTAGCATAAATGCCTTATAAAACGGTGTTCAAACTCACATTGGGAGCATTTAGCACTGTATAAAGCACATAATCAGTACCTGAGGGGTTCATTGTCATAGTAGTTATGCTATTGTTCTACTGTGATGTCACAACATGATCCTCCTTTGTTTACCACTGGTTTCTCACCGCTGTCTTTTTGCTTATGTTTAATTTGTTAAAGGAAAGTGAGTGATGTGTTTACCGAGTGACAGTGTCTCCCCACATACATCTCCTGTCAGCTCTGAGAATTGAATCTGCAACCTTTGAGTTACAGGTAAGACTCTTGATCCATTAGGTTACAAATGCCCTATATAGTAAATATTAATTCAATCGCATGCTGTTGCTTTTATTTAGAACACAATTTAAATCAGCTTTTTGGTCCTTAATCTGGCAACCTGCACTTGTAACTGTTTTGATTCAGCAATGCAATACCTAGTTTAAACACTCGGTATCAAACTTAAATACTACACTTTTAATCGTCCAAAAGTGCGAGTAGATGTAGGAAGTTTCCTGTTGCAGTTCACTTAATGACCACCGGTGTCGCTAATAAAATCAGTCATCAGAAAACAAACATACACCAATGCATTTTTATTTCAAAACGCATCAGTTTTGTTACGATTACGCTTATTATCCACACTATTCCAGCATCTTCGATTTAAAAAAATAATTATAAACAGTTTTTTATTTCTTTCTAAAACATCTTTTCAAGATAAAATTGCATTAGTCTAAACAGCCTTTAAGTTATAAAATTTAAGTTATATTATTATTTCTAAAAATTCTCTGAATGTTCAAAATGCCCACTTTTTTCTTGTGCAACATTTACTTTCCTATGCAAATGGATCATAATGTGATATTTTCATTTTTAAATTTAGCAAATATTAACATAAGTTTGAATGTTCTAAAACAAGTTACTATTATAAAAACCAAACATTTTGGGGGAAAACAATGCATAAATACTAATTTTGAGAAGTGTCAAACATTAAGTGTCCGCTAGAATTAGCTTACAACAGGATCATCCTTCATTAATTTGTTTTGTTTTAAGTTTCTTTTTAGTAAAAAAAAAATAATAATAATAAAAATGCAACACACTGGTACTTTGTGCATAAACATTAATTATTATGATGACATATTTTAATGAAATAAAATGTCTTTATACATTATCATCCTATGAACAAAAGCCGTTCTTGCATTAAATATAGCTTTATTCCAAACAATTACTTTCCACATCAATATGTATTACATAATAAAAGCATTTCAGATGCATTTGAGTCCATTCAAAATATAAATATCTGTTAGTTTTATCACTTTATCTGTTTATCTTAATTCTTAATTATCTTTTCCACAAGAACTTCAAGACTTTGGTTGTAATTACAAGGATGATTGCCCTTTAAACATTATAATTCAGGATTTGATTTAGAGTATGTTCATCATACTTCTGCAATGCATGCCTTTGTTAGTTGCTTTAGACAAGATTCGATTGGATTTTCTGACTATAATATCCAGTAATTACTTATTTATTTATTTTTTAATTTTCAATCTTTGTTTTCATATGGCAATTGGCATACCGTTTACAGCCACAGCTTTTATAGTGGACTCTCTCAGATAATGTTTTAGCATCTGGATTAGCTTTTTGTGGTGCAGATGATGTGATAAACTGCTGTAATCACTGACATGTTGTCGCCGTATATATTGTTTTACTGTGTTTATCCAGTTCAGGCAGACGAGCGATGAAGCATCAGTGTCTCCACCCAGCTTTATCTGTGCATTTCAATTATTTCCTTGAACATTTTTTAAGGCCATAACGTTTACAGTTTGGTCACTTTATCTAAAGTCACTTACAGTAAACTTTATATGAGGGTTAAGTGAGGTTACTGTAAATGTTTTTCTCAGGAGCGTAATATTTTGTTTAGTTACCAGCACAATACCAGCCTTGTGTTGAATGAAACATAGACTCATTGTGATGTACACAAATGTAGTCTCAAATGTTGCCCTATATACATTTCTGGAGATTGAGAATTATGTGACCAATAGTACGTATGGCTGCATCTTGTCTTTAAAACAAATGCTACTGTCGGCGCCAGTGGTGTAGTGGTTAATGCATCGACACATGCACTCCGGTGCTCACGGCGACCCGAGTTCGATTCCGCCTCGCGTTCCTATGCCGATCCTTCCCCTCTCTCTTCTCCCCATGATTTCCTGTCAATTCTCTACTGTCCTATCAAATAAAGGTGAAAACCCCTAAAAAATAATTATAAAAAAAAAAAAAAATGCCACAGGGTGGTATAATGCCGTTCCTTTACGCGCTTACTAGCTGACTGATTACCTTTGTGTGGATGGCTTTCCCGCTATTTCCAGTTTGTTCATTTAGCTTGCAATGTACGATGACAGACTTGATACGCAAAGAGGAGTTGACCACAATGATGAGGTTCGAGTCTGGCAAAGAATGGGTTCAGAAAATAAACAAGTAAATAACAGGGCGAGAATGTGGTAAAATCTGAAAACTTAGTAAAAAGGCGAGGGCGTTTTTGTTTTTCTAGATTGCTTTTTAAAACTGTCAGTTGGGTTTAGGGAAGTGAGAGCACTGGTCAGTCGGTGCTTTTGAAAACACTATTGGTTGGGTTTAGGG